TAAAATATACGATAAATATGATGACAACTAGTAGTTAATGGCAAATTCATCGGGAATTCTTTTTTTTTTCAATCAAGCATATGTACCTCGTTAAAATAGTGATTGAGATATTAATTAGGAGAGAAATCTTGTTTTATTGAATACATCGACGTATCAGCCGGATTAGAGCTGTTTTACGTGTACATCTTCTTTCGACAATATAAACGGAAAATTAGAGAGATTTCTAATGAAAAACCAATGATTTTATCATTTATATTGGAAACAACATTTTCATATACTTTTGTAATTATTTAAATAACACGAAACCTCGATCTATGATTTGAAGTAAAAATATACGAATTTGGTCGTATAGTGACGTTTTTACACGTTTTTCATGCTGTGTGATTTTAAGTAAAGATAATCGAATTTACTAATATTTCGATACTACTTTATGTTTTCTCACGATATGTGATTTGACCTACAAATCTCAGAATTTCGCATTAGATTGGGTTTTAAAGTAATTTTCTAGTATTTAGTTTTGGACTAAAAATCATCGAATTGAGTAACATATGACGTTTATCATCCTTTTATCCTTTGTGTGATTTACGCGAAATATCGTCGATATAGGCCATATTTTGACGTTTCTCTGCGTTTTTATGAATTTTCAGTAAATTGTTAATAGTTCATAATATATACGAATAAAATGACACAAACACGTAATTGATAGCAAATTCATCCTAAATACTTTATTTTCAATCAAACATTTGTACCTCGAAAATAGTTTGTGGGATATTGATTATGAGAGAAATCCTGTTTTTATTGCATATTTCGACGCTTCAGCCGGACTAGAGCTTTTTTACTTGTATATCTTCTTTTAGTAATATAAAAAGAGAAAAGTTTTTCATGCTGTGATATTTTAAGCATGAATAATCTAAATTACTAATATTTCGATATTACTTCGATATGTGATTTGACCTACAAACCTCAGAATTTCTCATTATATTGGGTTTTTAAGCAAGTTTTTTAGTATTTGGTTTCGTACTAAAAATCATCAAATTGAGAAATATTTGACGTTGATTATTCTTTTTTCCTTTATGTGATTTAAACGAAATTTTGCCCGAAATACTTGCGAATACTAAACGAAATACTTGCCCGAAACGCTATGCGTGCTAGTTGCTTTAGGTATTGTATATACTACATCTATCTTTAAATCAAACAGAATGTTTGTACAGTAAATCTGCAACTATGTATGTACTTTCCTAAATAAATTATAATTATTAATATTATCATTATATCGTCGATTTAGGTCATATTTTGAAGTTTATTCATGTTTTTTTTATTGTTATTTTATTGTTATTAACTCATTAAATATTTGCTAAATATGATGCAAACACGTAATATAAGGCAAATTCCTCTAAAATATTTTATCTTCAATCAAGCATTTCCATCTCTTTAAAATAGTGAGTGAGATATTGATTAGGAGCGAAATCCTGCTTTTATTACATATTTCGACGTTTCAGCTGGATTAGAGCCGTTTTACATGTACAACTTCTCTCAGCAATATAAACTGAAAATAGGAACATCATAGTGAATTCTAATGAAAACACTTTGATTGTTATCATTTGTATAGGAAACAACATTTTTTTTATGCATTTTCAGTGATTTAAATAACACGTAACCTCGCTTATTATTTGAAATAAAAATCCACGAATTTGGTAACATAGTGACGTTTTTTCACGTTTTACATGTAGTGTGAGTTGAAGCAAGAATAATCTAATTTACTAATATTGCGATACTTTTTCATGTTTTCTCACGATATGCGAATTACCTTCAAATTTCAGAATTTTGCATTATATTGCTTTTTTAAGCAAGTTTTTCTTGCAATTTGTTTTGAACTAACAATCATCGAATGTAGCAATATATTTGACGTTCATCGTCCTTCTATTTCGTATGTGATTTAAACGAAATATCAAAGATTTAAGATATATTTTGCCGTTTCTCCACGTTTTTCAAAATTTTCAGTTTATTGTTATAAATTCATTAAATATACGAAAAATATGATGCAAACCAGTAATTGATGGCAAATTCATCTTATATACTTTATTTTAAATCAAACATTTATATCTCATTAAAATAGTGAGTGAGATATTGATTAGGAGAGAAATCCTGTTTTTATTGCCAATTTAAATGTTTCAGCCGGATTAATTCTGTTTTACGTGTACATCTTCTTTCTGTAATGTAAACGGAAAATCAGGAACAATAGTGAATTCTAATGAAAACAAATAGATTTTTATTATTTGTATTGGAAACAAAATTTTAATACGCATTTTTAGTGATCTATATAACACGAAATCTCGCTTTATTATTTGAAGAAAAAATCTTCGAATTTGGTAATATAGTGACGTTTTTTCATGTTTTTCATGTTTCTCATGTTGTATGATTTTAAGCAAAAAAATTGGAGTATACTAATATTTCGATACTACTTCATGTTTTCTCACGAAATGTGATTTGACCTACTAATCTCAGAATTTCGCATTATTTTGGATTTTAAAGCAAGTTTTCTTGCATTTTGTTTTGTACTAAAAATCATGGAATTTAGCACTATTTTGACATATCTCATCCTTCTTTCCTTTATGTGATTTAAACCAAATATCAACGATTTAGGCAATATTTTGCATTTTTTCCACTTTTTTTTTAATTAATTTTCAGTTTATTGCCATTCAATAAATGTGCAATAAATATGATGCTAACACGTAATTGATGGCAAATTAGTCTTAAATACTTTATTTTCAATCAACTATTTGTACCTCGTTAAAATACTGAGTGATATATTGATTAATAGAGAAATGCTGTTCCAGTTGGATATTTCGACGTTCCAACAGGATAAGAGCTGTTTTTCGTGTACATCTCCTTTCGAAAATATAGAAAATGATCCTACATAACCAAACTTAACCTAACAATGTAAGTGATCTTATACAACCAAACCTAACTTAACCTTGAAAATTATCTTACACAACTAAACTTAGCCTAACCATGTAAATGATCTTATATGCCCAAACCTAACCTAACCTTCGAAATGATTTTACATATCCCAATATAACACTCCCATGAAACTCAGTATGTTATGTAACCTAAGCTAACCTTGGAAATGAGATTACGTAACCCAGTTTAATCTAATCTTCTAAATGAGGTTATATAACCCTGAAAATGAGGTTACATAACTCATCCTGACCTTGGACAGGGGCTTACGTAATCCAACCCAACAATACCTTGGAATTAAAGTCATTATCAACAAAAGGAACCAAGCTGTGGAGACGCTGTCGCACCATTTGTGTTGCAGGTGTTCACAAGGCGTCAAATATCACTAAGGGGGCCTCGTAGCCTGGTGGATAGCGCGCAGGACTCGTAATTCTGTGGCGCGGGTTCGATTCCCGCACGAGGCAGAAACAAATGGGCAAAAGTTTCTTTCATCCTGAATGCCCCTGTTACCTAGCAGTAAATAGGTACCTGGGAGTTAGTCAGCTGTCACGGGCTGCTTCCTGGGGGTGGAGGCCTGGTCGAGGACCGGGCCGCGGGGACACTAAAGCCCCGAAATCATCTCAAGATAACCTCAAGAAGGATGCCAATACCAGAACACAAGCGCATGTGGCGAGTGATATAGTGATATAGTCAATATTTACTGATCAACCATGAAGCTTGTCCTGTATCTTCTTGTGGTTATCTTGAGATGATTTCGGGGCTTTTTAGTGTCCCCGCGGCCCGGTCCTCGACCAGGCCTCCACCCCCAGGAAGCAGCCGTGACAGCTGACTTACATCCAGGTACCTATTTTACTGCTAGGTAACAGGGGCATAGGGTGAAAGAAACTCTGCCCAATGTTTCTCACCGGCGCCTGGGATCGAACCCAGGACCACAGGATCACAAGTCCAGCGTGCTGTCCGCTCGGCCGACCAGCTCCCATGAGTCATTTACAAGGTTAGGTTAGGTTTGGTTATGTAAGATCATTTGCAAGGTTAGGTTAGGTTTGGTTATGTAAGATCATTTGCAAGGTTAGGTGAGATTATGTAAGTCCATTTCCTTACCTTTCGTCACCTGACCTGACCTAACCTGACCTAGAGAGGCTCGGCTGACCTAGGGAGCCGGTCGGCCGAGCGGACAGCACACTGCACTTGTGATCCTGTGGTCCTGGGTTCGATCCCAGGTGCCGGCGACAAACAATGGGCAGAGTTTCTTTCACCCTATGCCCCTGTTACCTAGCAGTAAAATAGGTACCTGGGTGTTAGTCAGCTGTCACGGGCTGCTTCCTCGGGGTGGAGGCCTGGTCTAAAATTACTAAATCCTCATATTGCTCAGTTATGATTTTTTTTAGAAGCGATCAGATTTGTCATAAGTAAGAAATTTGTGACAAAGAAATAGTTTGTAGACGAGCCCTCCAATCCTTGCCAATGTTGGGTTCTTGATATATAACTTTTGTGTTCAAAGTTAATTTGATCTAGGGTAGGCCCTGAATCTGCTTTGGTATGTTCAAGAACATGATGAACAAGGACTCTAATTAAACATTCTTTATCTTTTGTGTTTTATTTTGGTGAACTTATTTACATATTTGTATTTTCATCTTGTGCGAGTCATGCATATATATTATTTATGTTAGGCAAATACTATATTTCAATAATACATAATCTACTCATATTACTATAAATTCATATTGTAAAAATAAAGAGATAAATGTTAGCACCTGTACACTATAAACACAGACATGAAAGTGAGTATGAAACTTGTTATCCAATTTGATGATATGAAAATTTATTCTGGTTTCAGAATGTGATTCTTCGTCATTTGAGGCTCAGCTAATCACAGAACCCACCACATAAAAATGTGTTGCACTTGGTAACGAGGGTACCAACTATTTTCACATTTATGGAAGAACTTGTAAAATATTTGGTATTTTCTGACTCAACCCAAGGCTATGAGGTTCATTAGCGGTTTATATATTACACACAATGTTTTATTCAAACTAAGTAACTTCACTTATAGTTTATTAGGCACGCAAAGTTATTGTTGAATATTGTCTCATATATTGTCATATTTATTGAGATTTCGTGAATTAATGTTGTTTAAGGTTGCAGGTGGGTCCCTAGTACACATGTGGCACCATATATGCTACACCTGCAGGTGGGTCCCTAGTACCCATGTGGCACCATATATGCTACACCTGCAGGTGGGTCCCTAGTACACATGTAGCACCATATATGCTACACCTGCAGGTGGGTCCCTAGTACCCATGTGGCACCATATATGCTACACCAGCAGGGAGTCCCTAGTACACATGTGGCACCATATATGCTACACCTGCAGGTGGGTCCCTAGTACCCATATGGCACCATATATGCTACACCAGCAGGGAGTCCCTAGTACACATGTGGGACCACATATGCTACACCGGGGACCCGGTCTTAATTATTATTCTATTTGTCTCTAACTCGGGTGTAATGATATGTGTTATCTTACTTTCTCCTTTATCAGCATAGCCTTTATTTACAGGGAAGGAGCTTCTTCTGCCAGGAATATGTGTTTGTGGATCAGGAGGCGAAAGTGTCTTCGTCGTTTCATGATACTGAACTTGTGTGTCTGGCACCAGTGTTGTGACGGAATGAGCTGGTTTCGGGACAACATATCCCTCAGGGACCTCAATGAGAGTTCCACCAGTAAGGACCACTTCGCCCAAGCTGGTTCTCGCCCTTGAAGCGTCCAGAGGCACGCTGTTGCGAGCCTGGTCCCTGTTTCTATCCCTGCTGGTCACGTCTTGCTGAGGGATATAATCATCAACCTTGTCACATCCAGTGAGTGTGTGTGTGTATATGGATGGTGATTCCCCTTGTTCTTTTCTAGATAATCTCTGGTGCGAAATACTTTTGCGATCACCGATGTGTAAATGAAATTTTGCTGGTGTTGTTTTACCTGATACTCGAGAATCCTCATCGTTGAAAATAACTCCAGCATTACCTGAGTCTGGTGCAGAATGGTTCAATTGTTCAGTAGATGGAAACTGATGATCATTGTAAACTTGGCTTTCTGGACAGGCATCATCTGGCATTAATTTAAAGCCCGTTTTCTCTGTGAGTTTGCCCTTGGACTTTATGGGCATATTGTCTTTATTTTCTGGAATAATATAATTATAGTCAAGGCTTTTGTTGGAATCTGGGCTCCTGTCTAAATCTATGATTTTATTTTGGTCAAAACTCTTCTTCTGATCCAAGGGAATATTTAAATTTATTTGTGAATAGCTGTCTGTATATCTACCAGTTTCAGAGGAAGCTTTGTATTTGGAAACACTTCTTCCTGGTAAAGGAACTGGCAGTATATTTTGATTTTCAAGTCTGCCATTTTTATCTACGTAAATTCCTATAGGATTTACAGGAACTGGGTGAGGATAGTCATACCCAAAGAGAGGCTTATGTGATGATGTTGGAGGAATATCATATCCTGGATGGAACTCTTGCACGTCTCTGTGCTGCTGGAGATGATCCCCCACAAAATGGGGATTTGTTATAATGCTTGATTGTGCATTGATGAGTGCCTGAACAGGGTCGCGGATAAGTCCACTGGGCATCTTCAGAGGTGTTAGGTACCCAAAGCTGGAAGAAAGAGAAGATGAACGCTCAGTTTTCATCAAGTTTTTATTATTTTCATGGTCAATTGTTATATTCCCAGCAGATGTAGCGCTGGTCTTCATGAGAGGTCGAGCTTGCTTAAGATCTCCATTACCTTCAGTGATAACAGAACCTGTGAGGACCTGGTCATTACCGGGGAAGACGCTGGCTGGAGTTGAGGTGGTAGTACCGGTAGTCTTGCGCGCGGTGTAAGTGGGTCTGCCACCCAAGTCTGCCTTACCATAGCGACACTTCCTTAGGCAGCACCACCATAACATGACCACCAACACTACTGCCATCGCGCTGGACACAGTGGAGGTAATGGCTATTAGAGGTATTACATCCTCTTCATGAGGAGTGATGATTTCTTGGCAATACTGCATGAGTCCAGATTCTACATTTACCTTATACAGAGTGCTGATATTCTCTTCATTTGACCGCTTGTGCCTTGTCTCAGATATTTGGACTTGATGTTTTGAGGAAGAAGCAGTATTAGCTGCTTCTGTTGTAAAATCATAGGTATATGACTGTTGAGTTTTTTCAGGTGGCACACCATCAAATTCATATATAAACCTCTGCCGTGAATTACGCGCCACTGGCGACGAGGATGAGGAAATTGGTAGACCACTGGGGCCCATCTTTACTCTAGGTCCTACAACAGACGGAATATTAAAAGGAGAATCAGGTCCAAAAGATGGTATTGGAAGAACAATTCTCTCACCCGTGCTGGTGTAGACGAAGTGCCCTCCGTACTGTGGCCGGGGAGGACGTCGTGACTGAGTCAGGCTTGGTACGGATGGTATATTCAAAGGTACTGCAGAACTTCTTCCTGGTGATAACATGTTTGGAAGCTCTTGTTTGTTATGACCAGTTAGTGAATATGGTCTCTTGAATGGTGACCCGGTATGACTTCCTTCCACGGAGAACGTTGTGGTGCTTCCCTGTGATGGCAGCAGTGTTGTGCTTCCCTGTGATGGGAGCAGTGTTGTGCTTCCCTGTGATGGCAGCAGTGTTGTGCTTCCCTGTGATGGCAGCAGTGTTGTGCTTCCCTGTGATGGGAGCAGTGTTGTGCTTCCCTGTGATGGCAGCAGTGTTGTGCTTCCCTGTGATGGGAGCAGTGTTGTGCTTCCCTGTGATGGCAGCAGTGTTGTGCTTCCCTGTGATGGGAGCAGTGTTGTGCTTCCCTGTGATGGCAGCAGTGTTGTGCTTCCCTGTAATGGCAGCAGTGTTGTGCTTCCTTGTGATGGGAGCAGTGTTGTGCTTCCCTGTGATGGAAGCAGTGTTGTGCTTCCTTGTGATGGGAGCAGTGTGGTGCTTCCCTGTGATGGAAATACTTCAATGCTTCCTTGTGATGGAAGTGTTGCATTATTTTCTTTTGACAGAAACATTGGGCCAGTTTCCTGTGACTGAGACAGGGGTGTACTTCCACGAGATGGAGATGCAGAATTCGTTCTTTGTGACTTCAAATCTTCATGAGAAAGAAAATGACGCTGAGAGATATCTGATAACAGTTGTGTCTTTTCATCGTTAAAAGTAGGATGAACGAGGTGATCAACGTCCACCTGCATGGTGTGACCTTGTGTAGCCGACGCTGACAACTTTGGAGCTAAGAAAACCTGTGATTGCGCCTGAGGATTAATGTTGTGAACCTCGCCAGAGCTGCTGAAGACAGCCGTCCTCACCTCTTCATCAGACAATGAACGCAAACAGAAAATGTAACCTGTACCAGGTTGAAGACCTTTCACAGAGTAATGATTGGTGAAATTCTGAACAGGTTCACCACCTCGGCTCACCAATACAACCTCTGTCATATTGTCTTCTCCAAAGCGGCGGTAAGTGATCTTCCACCCTAAGGGACGCAACATTATGGTATCTTGCTTAGCTGGTATTTTAAACTCGTTGAGAAAGATAGTGACAGTCCATGACAAGGTTACCTGCCGAGCCTCGTTTACCATACTCACTCCCTCTGTCTTGACAGAGTAATTCTCCATAGATCCTATAGGTACCGATGCCAGTGCTTCAGTCAAAGCGGACGTTGTAGGAACAATTCTAGCAGAAGTCGTTCCGTGCCGACAGTTATCCGGATGAATATAGATATAGTAATACTGGACGAGTGAGAGGCAGACTGTGTACTGCATCTCAGGCTCGAGGCCTTGTAATACTTCCGTGAAGAGAGAATTACTTGGCATCCAATCAGGACGCTTCTCTTTGAATCGTTCTAGGCTCATTCTAACGACCCTCGCGGCTCTGCGGTCCTCCTGCGGGTCTTGTATAGTAATAGCCCAAGAAAGAGGGTGAGAGAAAGAGCTATATGAAGAGTAGAACCCCGCGTCCACCCTCCACGAGACCACGAGTGCCTGCTGACTGAGCGTAGTCACATTAACAAGGTGAAGGAGGCCGAGTTTGCTAGCCAGCACACCTTCGACCTCGTCACCTACATACACCACCTGGCTCTCTCCTCCCGGGACGTGAAGACGACACACTTCTGACTCTATAAATGGAGATTACAAAAGCAAGTTTAGGTTTTTTTTATCTACATGTGGTAGATAAATTGTTTATCTAAGTAGGTGGTAGTTATGGTCTAAGACCAAAACAACTTAATGTTTTGTTTACAACGGGATTTTGTGCATATAAATACATTATATTTGTCTAGATGCTCAACTTTGAGTAATTGTTCCCAGATTAAATGAAGAATCCCTACGTGTGTAAGGAATGTTTTACCTAACAAAGACACTTAAGACAGTTCTCAACTGAACCTTTAAGCAAAATCAAATTAAAATAAACTAATAAATCAAGAAATGCACCTGTTAGGAGAGTGAGCTTCCGATGGCGGAGATGTAGTGGGGAGGAGCAGGTGGGTGAGGTGACGGTGGGTGTAGTGGTGTTGTGGGAGCCACTGTGCAGTAGCCAGCGGGAGGCACAGTCACAGTTCCAGGGATTACCTGACAACACAGTAATACTACTAAGACACAGTCGCAGTTCCAGGGATTACCTGACAACACAGTAATACTACTAAGACACAGTCGCAGTTCCAGGGATTACCTGACAACACAGTAATACTACTAAGACACAGTCACAGTTCCAGGGATTACCTGACAACACAGTAATACTACTAAGACACAGTCACAGTTCCAGGGATTACCTGACAACACAGTAATACTACTAAGACACAGTCGCAGTTCCAGGGATTACCTGACAACACAGTAATACTACTAAGACACAGTCACAGTTCCAGGGATTACCTGACAACACAGTAATACTACTAAGACACAGTCGCAGTTCCAGGGATTACCTGACAACACAGTAATACTACTAAGACACAGTCACAGTTCCAGGGATTACCTGACAACACAGTAATACTACTAAGACACAGTCACAGTTCCAGGGATTACCTGACAACACAGTAATACTACTAAGACACAGTCACAGTTCCAGGGATTACCTGACAACACAGTAATACTACTAAGACACAGTCACAGTTCCAGGGATTACCTGACAACACAGTAATACTACTAAGACACAGTCACAGTTCCAGGGATTACCTGACAACACAGTAATACTACTAAGACACAGTCACAGTTCCAGGGATTACCTGACAACACAGTAATACTACTAAGACACAGTCACAGTTCCAGGGATTACCTGACAACACAGTAATACTACTAAGACACAGTCACAGTTCCAGGGATTACCTGACAACACAGTAATACTACTAAGACACAGTCACAGTTCCAGGGATTACCTGACAACACAGTAATACTACTAACAACAAGTGGCTAAGATGATTCAGTTTTAAGTGAAGAACAAGTAGCAGGTATACAACGAAAGTGTAACATAGAATTTAAATGTGTTATTTTGTAATCCAGCCAATGAATGAATGAATATAAATGCATTATATAAAATAATTCCACTGTTAAAAACAATAAAGGTATATAAGTAAAATGAATACATTCACATACAAGACATCGACGGTCACCTCTCCTGTGCGCGAAAGATAATAATAATAATAATAATAATAATAATAATAATAATAATAATAATAATAATGATAATAATGATAATAATAATAATAATAATGATAATAATAATAATAATAATAATAATGATAATAATAATAATAATAATAATAATAATAATAATAATACAGTGAAATCACATTATCATGGTATATCAATGAGAAAATTCACAGGAGCCGTGATGAGGATTCGAACCTACGTGCTGGGTGTTCCCAGATGCACGCCCTGAACGACTACGCCACGACGTGGTAAAAAAATTGTAACCTGGCGTACTACTGCACCTGTAGAATTCCAATGTCGTATTGAAAGTGGGGCGACAGAGGTACAATTACTGGACGACAGATCCAGGGTGCATGGGGGGGGGGAATTGTGTGAAACCCTGTTTCGGCTTCAGATTGGTTACACAAAGTGAACATTAAGAGGAAATTAAGGGGCGTTTATTTCCTAGATGCTGTAGATTTCTTCAAACTCCTCTGACGCCGGGCAAGAACCGAGGATACAGCGGGCATTTCCCCTCTGGATCGCCACACTGAGGCGCTTTAAGAGAATGCTTGCCACTTTAGAGTTTCAATGAACCTGGAACCAAGATCCTTAAAAAACCTCCTTGCACTCTCTCCCCATGGACCAAGTGGTCTCAGACCCTATTGGAACTAATTTGTTCCATTGCTGTTTCCATGTAATTGGTTGACTTGTCTCTTTCTCTGTGTGTCGCCCCATGTAATTGTCTGCCATTTTTCCAAGGACGCAATGTGATTTCATCTGGTTCGCCAACAAAGCTAACTGAGTAACGATTGAATAGATTGTGAGGCTCTCTCTCTCTCTCTCTGCTGGACACTGGGTAGATGCAGATCTCCTCTTAGTGATGTCATTGCCTTTGTCATGCCGTGAGTGCCAACCGCCTGATTTTCTACAGTGCAGGCCATGCAGTCCACATTAAGCTGCATCTGCCTCGCCGTAAGTACACCTATGAACAATGTGGATAGGGACAGCAAGGCGGAGAGCGACTGCAATACGTTGCTGCTGCGGATCAAGACGTGTGCCTGTCGCAGACATAGGGACTGCCAGAAGGAAGTCCCCTGCATGGGGAGCCTGCACAGCTGTGGGGTGCACTCGGTCACTGGGGGTTGTTGCTGCCTCCAGCAAAGCTGTGGCTTTTTGTCTACAATGAGGCTGTCCCTCCTGGAATGTTTCTTGGCTTTCAGCAAGGTTGATCTGAGTAACAGGTCTGCCATGGTTTCCATTTTGTCTGGCATTCCATGTAGTGGGAGTCATGTGTCTCCTCTGAATCACCCAGGTTGTCTGGTAGAATTTCCTTGACCAGATTATCTGATGCTGAGGAGGAAGACAGGATGATTGTGGCTGCAATTTGGATGACGGTGCAGACACCAAGGCCGCCGAGCCTGACTGGGGGAGTGGCTTGTTTCGATTGACAATCATCGAGGGAAACTTTTGTTGGAAAGTTGACAACTTTTTCTAACGTGGTCTTCAGTTGGAAGTCATACTCTTCAAGCTTTGGGCTATTGTAAGATGGGGCGCACCTAAGAAAGTAGGTTAACCTTGGAAGGGAGACATCTAATGAGGAGATAAAAAGCACCGTGAGCATCGATGTCATATATCCTGTCTTCCATCCTCTTGAGTTCAGTGATTGTTTTATCGATAATCTGGTCAATGATGTTAGACCAGACTGACGATAATCTCGTCAATGATGTTAGACCAGACTGACGATAATCTCGTCAATGATGTTAGACCAGACTGACGATAATCTGGTCAATCATGTTAGACCAGACTGACGATAATCTCGTCAATCATGTTAGACCAGACTGACGATAATCTCGTCAATCATGTTAGACCAGACTGACGATAATCTCGTCAATGATGTTAGACCAGACTGACGATAATCTCGTCAATGATGTTAGACCAGACTGATGATAATCTCGTCAATGATGTTAGACCAGACTGACGATAATCTCGTCAATCCAAGGAGATTGCTGTTCACAGCCCAAATGACATAGGTTCAGGGAAGGACTTATCTTCTTCTAGCTATGAGGTCTGGGTTGGAGAAGACTACTTTACATTTGGAAGGGTTTAGAAACAGACCCAGGCTTACTTCTTGCTCCTTTATTTTCCTGATGTCATCCAAGAGGTGATCTACGGTGCCAGCTATAGTGCCATCATCCAAAAACCAGATGTTGAACTCGCTGGATAAGCTTTCATTGATTTCTTTTAAGACTAAGCTGAAAAGAAGAGGAGCTAGATGATCACCTTGCTGAACACCTTCTACCCTGGAAACACAAACCGAAACTGTCTCTATTTTCCACTTGTTACAACTTGTAATAAAGTTGTTACATTTTGGCTTAACGTGTTTATGACATATTAGAACGTTGTTACAACTTGCTATATTGGTTGTTATAACTGGTTAGGAAGTGTAACGTACGTTTATGTTACGTTGTTGAGTAGATTAGATACACATTGTTTAGTGAGTTTTCATATATATTTAGTAGTCTTGATTACAGTAGTCGGCTGGTGGCGTTGTCGTAAACGTTGAGACGGAGCTTGGAGCAGAGCAGAGAGCTGAGTGAGGCCGGAGTCGTGGAGCGCTGTGTGGGAGAGCGTGGCGGCTCGACTGGGAATTGTGAGTGTCTAAACTCGGGGAGCGAGAGCGTTGTAGCTCGATGTGGTCGTAGTCTGCTGTCTGCTCTGTGTCGAAGCTGTAGCGTCTTGGGTCGATTAGAACTGTACACGCCGAGTGCTACATTGTTGACTGTGGAAATTGTACCGTCCGCTATTCCTCATATCACTTGCTTATATGGTGACTACACCTCAGCTCCCTCCAACAAGATGAGAAGAGTATTACCTGTAATTGGGGAAAGGATTGCAGCTTCTGTAATTAGTGCTAATTAGTTATGCTATTAAGATAATGAGATAATGGAGCGAGTATAAGATTAACTCGCTACACAGGTGTTAAAACTTGTTCGAACGTTGTACCAACGTCGTAGTTTCTGTGTGTGTTTGGCGGGTAGTGATCTAATTTCGTATTCGTCAAAGAACAATTTTGATTTCACCACTGTAGCACGATAGAATGAAAGGGTAGAGGGCCAGAAAAGGCGATGTTCAGTGCAGAGCACCGCATCTCATCTGGCCACTTTATAAATATTTTTAAAGTGACCTATACCCCTACCTTTTACTCCTCACCTAATTGTATGTACCTGACCTCCCAATGGTATAAATACGACATGTCTTCTACTGTTTCACCACCACACACTTGGTCCGGGAGACATCTCCCGTCACGCAGGGTGCAGTTGCACCTCCACAGATCTCCAGTATCAGCTCTTGATACTGGTAATGGCTCAAAAGGGCCACCACTTACGGGCAATTCATGCCCGTGCCACCTTTTGGATGGTTTAATCGTCATCTTGGACACATTCATGGGAGACATCTCTCGTCACGCAGAGTGCACTTGCACCTCCACAGATCTCCAGTATCAGCTCTTGATACTGGTGATGGCTCGAAAGGGCCACCACTTACGAGCTATTCATGCCCGTGCCACCTTTTGGGTGGCTTCATCTTCTTCATCTGTTTAAAACACGGGAGACATCTCCCGTCACGCTGGGTGCAGTCGCACCTCCACAGATCTCCAGTATCAGCTCTTGATACTGGTAATGGCTCAAAAGGGCCACCACTTACGGGCTATTCATGCCCGTACCACCTTTTGGGGGGCTTAATCTTCATCAATCAATCAATCAGAGTAATCACGGGAGCACCGCTCCGGTGGCAGGTAAGTCCACTACGGGCTCACCATAGCCCATACTAATTGCCCCGCTCCTGTGCCAGGTAAGTTACGGGCTCACAATAGTCCGTGCAACTTGGAACTTGTTTCGAGTAGCTGAATCTTTAACAACATACTGTTTCAGCACCGCTCCTGTGCC